TTCTAATGAAAATATACAGTTAATAGCTAATAGAAACAATAACATAGCATCAAAAAATACCTACCCCTAAGAACAAAATGCTGGCTAGATAGCTCAGTCGTTTAGATATCCGGCTTGCAGAACCACATGTTGGAAGTTCAATTATCTACTGTGCCTCCCGTGAGAAGAGCCAGCCTGTGTGGCCTTGGGCAAGTTGCACAGTCCCAGGATGCCCCCAGAAGAAGGGGATGGTAAACCACTCCTGAGTATGCTCTACCTAGAAAAACCTGTCATCCTCCGTTTCCAGTGCGGGCAGGATCCCTGGATTCCTTTATCTGCCTCCTCCAGCAGCCAATCACTCAGAAAAGGAGGTGGGACAGAGCTTCTCCCTTCATAGCCAGTGAGTGGCCAGCTGCCAGAGGAGGTGGGGAAGGGAAGCCTGGGCTCCTGGACTGGAAGCCAGCGACAGAGAATGACTTGGATGGCGCACCGAGGCTTGTCATCCTCCATTTCCAGCTTCCAGTGCGGGCAGGATCCCTGGATTCATTTATCTGCCTCCTCCAGCAGCCAATCACTCAGACAAGGAGGTGGGACAGAGCTTCTCCCTGCATAGCCAGTGAGTGGCCAGCTGCCAGAGGAGGTGGGGAAGGGAAGCCTGGGTTCCTGGACTGGAAGCTGGCGACAGAGAATGACTTGGATGGCGCACCGAGGCTTGTGAGTGGGACAGCTGGCTAGGGGAGAGAGGGGAAAGGTGGCACCTGTGGTGTTGCACATATGAATTGGGATGAGGCTCTTTGTGCTCATCTCCAATATTGACTTAACATTTAGCAATTAATTGAATGGGGTTCCATAATGGATCTACTAGAAAGAATCAGGAGTTGGATTACAGACATAGTAATCTTGTTGTGTTATTAATGATCTTGCATGAAACCAGCTGAAACGCATGAAAATGTGCTCTCCTCAAAACCTTCTCAAGCAACCAAACTTATTGGGATGAGGCTCTTTGTGCTCATCTCCAATATTGACTTAACATTTAGCAATTAATTGAATGGGCTTCTATAATGGATCTACTAGAAGGAATCAGGAGTTGGATTTCAGCCACAATAATCTTGTTGTGTTATTATGATCTTGCATGAAACCAGCTGAAACACATGAAAATGTGCTTTCCTCAAAACCTTCTCAAGCAACCAAACTTCTTGAGTTCACCCAAGCAGATTATACTACACGTAGGGAGAGGGCTCTTGCTTTCCTACTTTGTATGCATACATTCTGCCTCCAAGGGGCACTTACCTTCATCCTCATATCCCTGGCATATTTTTCCAACTCCTTCCTTATCTCCGACCGCATCATCTTTGACACATTGAGCACCAACTGCTTCCACTCAATGGGCTGAAAGCTGTGCGGCTCATGGGGGACATACAATCCGATTTTCACTTTCTTTACAGAGTGTAAGTACTTTTTATAAGACTCTTCAAATTCAAAGATGAGGTCACTCAGATTCCGGTAGATCAATGGTTTGTCCATCAGCTCCGATCTTCGGCTCATGCCCAGTGACCCATATCGGCCATTGAAATAAATTCCAAGCACCACATGATGAAAATTGTTCCCTGAGAAATGGGATTTAAAGCTGATTGGGAATCGTTCCACAGAAGGCTGCCCATTGGTTAAGTATCTGACAAGGCTAGTGTTAAGGCACCAAAGACTCTCAATGAAGGGAAATGCTTCCCGTATCCCATACAACTTTCATACATTTTGTCTTGCACTGAATGATACTCGTTTTTGTGACTCACCTTTTATTTTCTAGTCTAAGTGGGCATGTCTTTCTAACCTCTCAGGCAGAGATGGGATGGCCATGTGTCCTTCTTTACAGAGGGCAGTTCTCTCTTTGAAAGACTCTCCAGTCCAAGTCAAATTTAAAGATAAAGAACCATAAGGTCTTGAGATTGTCCATCAACACCTGGATGGCAGACTGAGCAGGCACACAGGTCAGTAGGTCATAGTCTTTTCCACTATGGTCATTGGTATTGAAAGCCAACGGGGTAGTAAGGCTGTTGGACTAAAACAGTGGTTCTTAACCTATGTTACTCAGATGTTTTTGAACTGCAACTCCCAGAAACCCCAGCCAGCACAGTTGGTGGTGAAATTATGGTCATTGGTATTGAAAGCCAATGGGGTGGTAAGGCTGTTGGACTAAGACATGAGAGATCCAAGTTCTAGCAACTGGCTTCCAGTTTGGACTTAGCTTGTTGTGTGCCGCTGCGTGGAGGGAGCAATGAGACCTGGCGTGGGAGTGGCATCCACTCTTCTTTTTCAAGGGAGCAGATGTCATTATTCCTTTAATGTTGATAATGACCTGATGAAAGGCAAGGTGTTAATTTTGAGGGCAACTGCAGACCTACACAAAAATTAAACACAGACAGCCTTAGGTACTGAAAGTATCATCTGCCACATCCAGTCTGGATGGGGAGCAGGGACCCACAGTGTCTTGATCAAGCACACCAAAGAGTGAACAAAGAACTTAGAACTGCTTTGTCCAAATATTTGGGTGTGGTTTTGCCTCATTGAGATACTGTTTTTAAATTGTTGAGGAGTGATGGGGCACTTTTGTTAGAACAAGAGAATTACATTTATATTTCAGCCCGGTGGCAAGACTCAGGACCATATTATTCAGTTTTGGTGAGGTCAGGGAGCTAAGTTCTATATGTGTTCCTTTGCTGTAGAAGAAATATGGATAGGCCAGGCTCGGATGGTGAGCTTCCATGAGTAACCTTCGGTAAGTAAATATAAATAAATATCAATGTTAAAATAAATAGACATAATTAATAATAAATATATAAGAGCAGGTCACCAGACTACCACCATGGGTAAGAAGGTTCAGGGTCTCATTTATACCAGTAACTTTAAGGCCTACTTGATCACAACTGCCTGTAAAGCATACGATTTCAGAAGGAAACTTCCCGCAAAGGCTTCACGGGTAAGGAAACCTGGGTAGCATTGGGATGGGTTCATAGCAAGGCTGCAGGCAGGGAGCACACTCTGAAGACAGAAAGAACAGCTTCTGTCAGAGTTTCCATAGAATAGGATGCCCCACCATAGAGGATGGTTTGGTTAAATAACCATATAATAAAGTTGTGGCCATTAGTTCATATCATCCCTGTGCCTTGCCTAGACAGAAATAAACACTTTTTCAAGGAGACAAACGGATGAAAAAGTGAGATAAATGAAACAAAGTTCAGAAAAACTGAAAAAGTAACCAATGAAACAGACTGATTAGTTCACACTACTTATAAATTAATAATAAAATCATCATGTGCCATCAAGTCAATTCTGACTTACACGACCCTTTTCAGGGCTTTTTAAGTAGAGAATACTCAGAGGTGATTTACCATTCCCCTCTTCTAGGGGTGCCCTGGGACTGCACGGCTTGCCCAAGGCCACACAGGCTGGCTCTACTTGTAGGAGGCAGAGTGGGGAATCAAACTCCCAGTCTCTAGCTCTGCCTAAACGATTGATCTATCAAGCCAGTAACTTATTAAATTAGGCATTTGCAAAGAGCAGATCAGCCATCAGAGCAAAGATCCATAGCTCTACACCTTTTTCATACTATCTTTCAATTCAAACTTCCCAGGGCAATATACCAGGACCAGTGAAGTCTAACTAGAATGAACATGATGATCTTGAAACGAAAATGACCTTTTGTCATTTAGCTCTTTAAGTAGCTACTGCTGCAGTTTGGGTTTGAACTGAGATGAGTAAATGTACAACCAAAATCGCAAGAACTCTTTCTTCTTCCATATAATTAATTCTAAAATCTGCCTCACCTTCTGTTCGTATCTATCAAAATTTTCATGCAATGAACGGCTCTGTTGCAATTGTTCCTTGCAGAACAAAAGAGATTAAGACCATCTGACTCCAAGCAGTTCTTTGAAAAACCTATACGCATGTGCCCTGTGGCCATCTGGCCCCTATGTCACATTTGTCAAGCCATCAGGTCTCCAAGACATTGCAATTTGATCTCATTAACTTCTAACTAGGAGAAAAAGATCCTCTGGAGGCAGGTTGTGCATACTAGCACATACCCAGAAGCAATAACCAGAGATGGTGAGTTTCTGGCATCTGAAGCTTTGACACCAGATGAAGTCACTCCCTTTTTTCTGGTGGTACTTCTGTACATATATTCAGCAGGCCAATTTACTGTGACTATTACTTTACTTATTGCATAATTACTTGGCTTCTGCCTACCAGGGCATCCAAAGCAATTTACAATAAAGGTAAAGGTAAAGGTTCCCCTTGCCAATTTTTGTCCAGTCATGTTCGACTCCAGGGGGCGGTGCTCATCCCCGTTTCCAAGCCATAGAGCCAGCATTTGTCCGAAGACAATCTTCCGTGGTCACATGGCCAGTGCGACTTAGACACGGAATGCTGTTACCTTCCCACCAAGGTGGTCCCTATTTATCTACTCACATTTTTCATGCTTTCGAACCGCTAGGTTGGCGGGAGCTGGGACAAGTGACTGGAGCTCACTCCGTCGCGTGGATTCGATCTTACGACTGCTGGTCTTCTGACCCTGCAGCACAGGCTTCTGCGGTTTAGCCCGCAGCACCACCACGTCCCTCAAACAGATTAAAATTTTACTTAAAAAGCAGATCCCAAACTTTCTCTAAAAGCCAGTTTTAAAAATCTGTCCTAAATTTCAAAGGCCCTACAGAATAAAATAGTTTTAGTTGCTAGTCAGAAGCTCAGCAGAGATGAAAAGCCCACCTAACTTCCCTTGGGAGGGGGTTCCATTTTGAGGGTGCTGCCACAGAGAAAGATCTGTCTCCAGTAGCCGCCAACCTAGAGCATGGTTACACTATGGAAATATCAGCTGAGGGGGCTACGTGGACATTTAGAATCGTTTCATTTGAGGTTTTGTCCTGTGCCCACCTGCCTTCACACTGGCTACCTCTCACAGCCACTAGCCACTGTTTAAAATCGTTTCATTTGAGGCTTTGTCCTGTGCCCACCTGCCTTCATACTGGCTACCTCTCACAGCCACTAGCCACTGTTGCTGTGGTGTTAATTCTTTTTTTAATTTCTTGGAATCTGAAACAGCCAGAAAAAGAACAACAGAAAAAAATAAAATAAAATGAGGCTGAAACTGACTAGGCTTGTGAAGGGGGGAGAAACACCAAGGAGAGAGGAAGGAGGGAGAAACACACACACCAGGCTGGGGCTGAAACTAGCCAGACATTTTGACTAGATCTGCACTTCTAGGCTTGTGAAGGAGGGGGCACCCAGAGGGATGGAGAAAGAGAAGGAGCGCCGAAAGCACACCAGCGAGTGGCAAACACCACAGACACAATGTACACCGAGAGAGGCATTCACGCATGCCAACCAATTCAAAATAAATCAATTTGACATCCAAGTTAAAATAAGCAACTCCCTGGTGGAAGAGTAAAGAATCTTGCTTCCAATCAAAATAACACATTTCCCTTTCAAAACAATATACATTTCCAATTATATTGTCCAATCACCTTTTTAAAAAATGATTTAAAACACACTAAATCCAATTCAAAGCCTCTTAGGATAGTTGGATGCAAAGCAGAGCCTATGCTGAGGTACTGCAGATTTTTTTAAAATTCAGTCATCCCACCTCTTTTTTTCTGCTTTGAGTCATAAGTTATTTTTGCTTTTAACTGCTGCAAATGCTACAAAAACGTTTTTCTAATATTTCAAGCCTTTATGTAAATTACTCAGGGGAGACTGAAAATTGTTGTTCCCATGGAGGGGAAGCCTGTGTGGAAGAACTGACCACTGTGTCCTGTGCCAGCCATGCAGAGAAGAAATTGGAATTTTTGAAAGTACTAGTTCACTCTATTTTCCTCAATTGTTTCTCAAGAGCTACCAATGATTGGTTTTTAAAAACCCAGCCCTAATATTAATGTATGAAGAGTTCATGTGGTTGACAGAATGATGGTGGGGTTGATAGTGTGTTGATAGAATAGTTCATAGAATGATGGAATAGGACTCGAGAGATCCAACTTCAAATTTCTACTTGGCCATTGAAACTCAGTTTGGGATGTCAACGATAAAACCACTCCTTAAATATCCCATTTCCCTTGATAACCCTATGAGAATTGCTGTAAGCCAGGTATGACTTGATAGCATATAACAACAGTAGTGCATAGGGTTTTTCCCCCCTCTTATGATTAAAGGTGGCTGGATAGCTCAGTGGTTTAGATTTCTGGCTGCAGAGTCAGACGCTGGGAATTCAATTCCACACTGTAGCTCCTAAGAGAAGCGCCAGCCTATGTGCCCTTGGGCAAACTGCACAGTCCCAGGGTGGCCCCTTAAGAAGGGGATGGTAAACCACTTCTGAATATTCTCCACCTAAAAAATCCTGGAAAGGGTCACCATAAGTTTGAGTGGACTTGATAGCACACAATTAATTTTATGAGTAAGTAAACAAGGTCCTGTGTTCTAGGAGAAACCGTTGTTATGGAGATTACACAATATACTTACCCTTTGTGCATTACCATACCTTGATCTTCAGGATTTTAGGTCACATCCTCTTTCTCTAACTTGAGTCCCGATATGAGCCCATTTATAGTTATCAGTACATTCAATACATCATTAAGCATTTTATCTTTTCGGAATCCTCTTTAGTTTCATAAATCAAAATGCCTTTACCATCTCCTTCCACTTTTTGTTTTCTGTTACCAGTAGATAGCAGAAACTCTTCTCTGCTCCTGGTGTATAACAAATGGTTTATGTCTCCGAAATATGTTGAGATGCTCCCAAACCTAAACAGAATGCCTGTCCTGTTGTCTTTGTACACATCACTTGTAATTTCTGGCAGTAAAACTGAGTACAGTGGTGCCTCGCTAGACGATAATAATCTGTTCCACTGAAATCGTGTTTAGCGAAATTATTGTTTAATGCATTCCAATAGGGAAGAATCGTTGTTGTCTAGCGAAGATCGGCCGTAGGAAAGACGCTTTGCGAACTGCCGATCGGCTGTTTAAATTGCTGTCTTGCGAAGCTTAGGTCCCGAAAACATCTGTTTGCGAGTGCGGAGGGAGCTGTCAAAATCGCCGTCTAGCAAAAATCGGTTTGCGAAGCAGGGACCAAACATTGTCCAGCGAAATTCCCCCATAGGAATCACTGTTTTGCTAATCGCTATAACGATCGCAAAATGCCAACGTCTAGCGAAAAAACTGTCATGCGGGGTAACTGTCTAGCAAGGCACCACTGTATACATATCTCTTTCCACTTGGGTTTTTGGTTTGTTTCTGATTTGGGGCAGTCCTTTGTCCTTTTCCCATGGATTGCTATCACCACATAGAAGGTACTGACTGTTTTTGTTTGTTTGTTTGTTTTTCATTTAACACTTATTCTCGGTTTGTTTCTGATTTGGGCCAGTCCTTTGTCCTTTTCCCATGGATAGCTACCACCACATAGAAGGTACTGTTTTTGTTTTTTTGTTTGTTTTTCATTTAACACTTATTCTTGCTGCCAAGCTCTTTTGTATTGTCTCTCCTTTACAGGTCAATTTGCTGTCCCTTAGCAACCAGGATTGACAAAAAGCTGAACTTGTATAAGGATACTGATTACCAATTTCTGCCTGTCTCTTTAAAAGTTCCACTTTTTCAGCTGTCATGATTTGGCTAAACGTTTGTGATTCTTTCTGGATCTCTAGGATGGAAACAAATGTTCAAGGAATTTTGGAAGTGACCCAAAGAAAGCTGCTATTTTCTGTTTCTCTCTTCAAAATTCTCCTGCTGTTCTCAAGCGCTGCTCAGATTCCATGAACCAAGTCAAGTGGGCCTAGAACAATTTTCCCTCTGTCACATTTATTTAAAGAAAATATCTACAACGATAGGATGAGACCACCTCCTTTTCTTGCAGGGGCCAATTTTAATACTGCTACGTTTCTTTAGAAGCATTTACACATCAGAGTATCTGGTTATCACTCATAAGAGAAATTCGATGTCTTCAGTCTTTTTCTTTAAATTCAGTTCATTCTTCAATTTGTAACTGGAGGGTCTCTTGTTACAATACCAAGTGGTTTTTCTCGTCTGCATCTAAATAGCCCCTATTGTGCCATTTCTGCTTCCAGCTGGATCAGTGGCATCTTTAGGTGCTCTGCCACAGTTCCTAACCTCTTTCTTTCCAAAATGTGCTAAGACCCTTCCCTTTTAGGAAGTGTTCTGAACACTTAGGGTATCCAGTGCAGTGCGGTGGATAGAGTGATGGACTAAGATTCTGGAGACCAGGATTCGAATCCTCACTTGGCCATGGAAACTCACTAGGGAGACAGAACTGGAAAAGGTACTCCTTAACTATCTCACTTACCACAAAAGCCTTGTTAGGGTTGCTATAAGTCAGTTGCAACTTGATGGCACACACATAGACACTCAGCCCCAATCTAATCCCATGGTTATGGGCTGCTCAAACACCAATTATCTGCTAACTTCTGCTGCTCATGAATTTGTTCATTTTTTGAATCCGTTCAGAATCTATTAGCAGAGGAAGCCACAGCCAAGGTGACTGGTGGATTCAGCCCTGAATTATTACCAAAGCAGGTTTCCCTTTATGGAAAAGCAAAGCAAAATGTTGCCTCTGTCTTCTCCTAGCAAGAAGGAAATGTGAGAAAGAAGGAAATGACATCAGAAACCCTAAGAATATGAGTCTAGAAGGAAGGAAGGTCAGCATTGGTCAAAGCAGCTAAAGAAGGATCTAGGAAACTTGAGAAGGTCCTTTGTCTATTCCTCTCCACACAAAGATATGCATCCTGTCCAGAGGAAGCTGAACTGCAATCAGTCCCTCCAACACAACACACAGGAAGCTGGCTAGATCCATTGGAGAAGCTCAGATCAGGTAACTTGCATAACCTCTTCTGTTTGCTGAGAGTTTAATATCCACGGGGCTCCATCAACTAACATTGTCCTAATCTTGCAATGTACTGCCTGCAGGAAAGGAGTGCTATAAGTCCTAATTCAGTAAACATACTAAGAGAGATTAGAGAGTGGTTTTAAAAAAACTTGCAAAAATTAGCACTGCAAGCTGTCAAGCAGACTGATCAAAATGACATCTCCCTAATCTGCTCCACACTGTGGAAGTTCCCAGATTTGAAAGACAGGCACAGTCTACAGCTGCTTCAATTCAAACCCATCCTGAACACAGGCAACTGCTTGTGACTTCACCAGTGGCTGCCTTATTTCTACAGATGGAAAGAGATTTATCAGAAAGTTTAACTTTGGTCTTGACATTCAGAAAGGGAGAAGCTGTTAATACTTTGCTGGCTCCAAATCACTATTGTAAGTAGCTAGTGGCCTGGCCACTCATGATAAAATTTCCCTTTAGGCAGTAAAATAAAGGTGTATTTATGTTTAAAAAGGAAGAAAATGTTCAAGCCACCTTTTAGGCAGGTAATATGCATCATATGACTAGTATAAGTAAATGGGGATAGAAACATTGTAAGGATAGTAGTAAAGTTGTAGTTCTGATTATGATTACTTCTTAATCTCATCCTTCCTCCATGGTGTTCACGTTATGGCACATACTGGAGATACCATGGTGTTACCTCTCTGCTAATTCTCAAGGCTAAGCAGGAAATTCAATGTGTTTTATGGATCATATAATGAAAGAGATGCAGAAGAAATATTTGTATGATGAGTAAGAACTCTCTGCAGTGAACATTGCTTTATGCTCGCTTCCACTCGGTGACATTTTCCATTTTATTGCCCATTCATCTAGTCTACATAGATTCTTTTGGAAGTGCTTCAAAGCCATGCATGTTTTCATAACCCTAAATCATATGAAATAATTTGCAGTAATATTTGTGACAAAGCAATTTATATTAAAGATGTTACATTTATTGAAACAATTGATATTAAAGATATAAAATATCTCATTTCGTTATCTGTTTTGCTTTTACAAAGAGTCCTTTTAAAAAACACCACTGACTTATAAAGATCCTTTATTTCAACACACGTATGGAAAAGGAATCTACCTTGCAACAATCCAATGAACTCACCTGAAATTCTTGGGGGGGTATAAGAAGTCTACGTAATCTGATTTACCCCTTCTTCCACTGTCAAAGCTGTGATGGCAGAACGTATAGACAAAAGGATACATCCCAAGGATAACTGCTTCAAGGCATTTGATAGGTAAAGATTCCCTGGTCATTTCTCTTGCAGATTCCATTAGCCTAGGAGGGCAAGACAAGATAAAATAGAATATCTTATTTATAAAACATTTGGGCCAGGAATGATTTTGCCTCAAAGTTCTTATGACATCGGTCACAGAGCAAGTCTGCGTTGCCCACACAGACGCTTATTTATAGGCAGTTTTAAAGAAGGGAAACAAAGAGAATAAACTTTTTTGTTGCTGCTGCTCTTCCCTCGATCGAGCACTGGATGCCTTCAAATCTGCACAAATTACAAAAGAGTTCTTGGTGTGTGGAGCACCTATTCACAAGTTCCTACAAGATACATATTGTATATTGTAGTTCTAAGGCTCTTCCAGGCACACCATTTGTTCTGCCTGACTTCACCTCCCTTTTTGTCATTCGGTTATGGAAGAGCATAGGATTCACTGGAATGTAGGTCCTATTAGGTATCTTGCACTAAGATGCTTCGCCATGACCACTGGGGGCTTATTGCTCTGTGCACATTGTGCCTCCCTCCTTGAACATCATAAGGAGCCAGATCTGTACTGGAACTTGTCAGTCTATGGCACACTTCCTCAGCGTGCTTTCTTGCCTGCTGCTTCCCCTCCCCCCCAATGGTGCAATAGCACTAACATGCCTAGGAAACATTGCACTAAAATCCATCCTCCAGTACAAAATGGTTCAAATGCAACCCAAGGGTTTGGGGAGTGAGAAGCAGGTGCAGGAACAGCGGAGGTGGGGGGCAAAGCTAGTACAAAGCATGAGAAAAGGATGGTCATTGGAAAAAAAATCTAGGAGCCAGAATCCTATTAGTATTGCACAGTATCAATCCAACTTCATGCAAATAGTGTGCATAATCTTGTGAGCTGCCTATTTCATTCTTGGGCATTCTCAGGTTGCACAATTGGTTGTGCACCCACCTGCACACCTAGGCACATGGCAGATGGCTTGCAGAATGCAAAAACCACTTGTGTTAATGTCTTCACATATATATCGTGTTCTTCCAGAAATAAGACAGGGTCTTATATTAATTTTTTCTTTTAAAAAATGCATTCGGACTTATTTTCAGAGGAGGTTCCCCCATGTACAACAATCTAAAGGTAAAGGTAAAGGTTCCCCTTGACAATTTTTGTCCAGTTGTGTTCGACTCTAGGGAGCAGTGCTCATCCCCATTTCCAAGCTATAGAGCCAGCTTCTCTCCGAAGACAATCTTCCGTGGTCACATGGCCAGTGCGACTTAGACACGGAATGCTGTTACCTTCCCACCAAGGTGGTACCTATTTGTCTACTTGCATTTTTACATGCTTTCAAACTGCTAGGTTGGCGGGAGCTGGGACAAGCGACGGGCGCTCACTCTGGCACGTGGATTCGATCTTACAGCTGAAGATCTACAGACCTTACAGCACAGAGGCTTCTGCGGTTTAACCTGCAGCGCCACCACAATAATCTACGTTTATTCAAATGCAGCCATGTCATCTTCTTCTGGTTGCTGCACATGGTAGAGGGCGGGGTTTCACTTAACTGGGGCTTATTCTTGGAGTAGGGCTTGTATTACGAGCATCCTGAAAAATCATGCTAGGGTTATTTTCAGGTTAGGTCCTATTTTTGGGAAAATGCTAGTATGCTGAAATCCTGTTCATTAGCATACTAAGTTGTACCAGAGCAGGTCTATTGCACCAGTGGGGATTTGGTGAGTCAACGCCTTCATAAGTCCCATTGAGTCAAATGGGCCTACTCCCCATTGAGTGAAATGGGCCTACTCTAGTTACAACTTACTATGCTAAAGTAAGTCACAATCAAGGTAGGCCCAAACAAATCAACAGAACTTACAGAGGGGTTGACTCACCAAATCTACATTGATTCCATGGACCTAATCTGATGCAATTTAGTACACTAAGCAGTAGAATTTCAGCTCAAATTTTGAAATGTTAGCATAATTTATCTTGTAAGTATATGATTAGCAGAATACACCTTCCCCTTTTGGAAAGAAATCACATCCACACTTCTAATTCCAACAAAATTAAAGAGCAAATATTTCTTAGAGAAATACTTTGATATGCTACTGCTGCTGCTGCTGCTGCTACTA